TTCCTGCATTCCTCCCCCAGGCCGGCTGCTGCCCCCCACGGGGCGGGGCGGCCAGGGCTCAGGGGCCCGAGGGCTGCAGCTGCTGGATGGGGAGCCTGGATCCCGCCCAGCTGTGCCCCGGGACTCCCAGCTGTGTCTGCCCCCCTCCACCCCCTGCATAGCCTTGGCCCCAAACCTGGCAAACAGGAGTCAGTGACAGGCTCCCTCGGGGTCTGCTGGGGCCGCCTGCAGGGGCTCTGGTGCTCTGACAGTGAGGGAGGGGCAGGGCTTCCTGAGGTGGGACCCTCTGACCTCCAGGGTCCCCCTGTCCCCCACAGGTCACAGCTCTCAGGGGAGCCTGGGCAGGGCCCATGGGGATCGTGGTGTTGGTCCAGCCCCGTCTGGGGCACAGCTCTTAGGGGAGACAAGTGCCACCTCTGAGTCCTGGGGGGTCTCCCGGGTGTTGGGGCGGGGAGCAGGCTGGGCTGTGTGGGCCAGGGTCTCAGCCCACCTTCACCCCAAACCTCCAGGCTGAGCTGGACAGAGGCAGCCCTGGGACTGCCTGGCTGCCCTGGGCCTAGTGTCCTGGCTGAGGAGGCCAGGAGCCGTGTGGCCTGATGGCTGGGGGTCGGGTGCCGGGGGTCCAGGGCCCGTGCTTGGCCTGCTCGGTGCATCAGGAGGATGAAGCCAGAAGGGGCCCCACGCCCTCCGAGGCCCCAGGAACCTGCACTGAGGCTGTGGGAAGGAGCCGGGCCTGTGCTCGTGGCCTCCTGTCTGCACCTGCGGCTCTGTGGCCCTGAGCTCTCCCTCCTGCTGGGATTTGTAGAAAAGGGGAGGATGTAGGTGAGAGCTGGTTTTCATCTGCGTGAGTGCTCGGCCCCCTCCTCGTTGTGGGAGGATAATGAGGCTCAGGGCCGTTCCCTCCCGTGGCCACGACGGTCCCCGGCAGCTCTGTCTGAGCTCAGGGACATCGGAAGGTCACACCGTCCCTGCAGCTCGTCCAGGTTCCTCTCGGATGGGTCTGGGGACACTCTTCCCATGTGGCTGCTAGGCAGGGCCTGGCTGCTGGCTTCCACTCAGCCCCGGGGAGAGGGGACGCCCCAGGGGGGACCAGGTCTGCAGAGGCCACACCAGGCCCCCCCCCCCCCCCCCCCCACCCGGTCCCCCCCCCCCCCACTCGCACACAGGCCGCTGGGGGTTGGGTCCGAGTGGCGTAAGAGTGATCCTTGGGTCCAGGCCGTTCTTTCCCTGACGGTGTCACGCTGTGGCCTCCAGACCTAAGGAAAACTTGCTGTCTTTGTTTATTTTTAAATACCTTTTTATTGATGTCAGAGAGGGAGGGAGGAGAGAGAGAGGGAAACATCCATGATGAGAGAGAATCATTGATCGGCTGCCTCCTGCACGCCCCACACTGGGGACCAAGCCTGCAACCCGGGAATCGAACCGTGACCTCCTGGTTCATAGGTCAATGCTCAAGCACTGAGCAGGCCTAGGCTGTTTCATTTCAAAGTACCTCCCCACGAACCAGTCATTCGCCACAAAGATGTAATTTTCCAGCGGGGACGCCCGTCTCGCCGAGTGACCAGGAGCACGGCGTGGGTTGCGGGACTGAATCTCAGCACGAGTGTGGTTGGCAGAATAATGCCACCGCCCCAAAGGGATGTCCCCTCAACTCCCGGAACCTGTGAGCATGTTACCTTACACGGCAAAAGGGACTTTGCAGATGTGATTACGGCACAGACCTTGATGGGGATTATCCCGGATGATCCGATGGGCTCAGTACATTGGAAAAGTTTCCCTGGCTGGGTCCCGGAGGAGTTCACTCGGGCCCCCCTCCCTACGCCCCTCCCCCCAGCCCCATCCTCCATCCCTGCTGCTGGCTTTGAAGTTGCAGGAAGGGGGCCATGAGCCAGGGAACAAGGCAGCCCCTAGAAGCCCTGAAGGGACCGCAGTTTACAACTGGCAAGAAAACGCTGCCCAAAGGGACCAAGGTCTGCCAGCGTGAAGATGGATGGGTGTTGGCGAAGCTGCTAAGTTTGCAGTGATTTGTTAGGACAGAATGAAGAACTAGTCTCGCGGGGAGACATCTGGCAAACCCAGACCGAGGGACACCGCGTTGGTTATCACGCACATGGAATGCATAAGAGCAGAGACAAACTGCTAATTAGGAACATGGGCAAGTGTGAACACGCATGTCACCAAATAGGACTGCCCCGCCGCATGGCTCAGCGGTTGAGCGTCCACCTATGAACCAGGGCGCCGCCGTTGGATTCCCGGTCAGGGCACAGGCCTGGGTTGCAGGCTCCATCCCCAGTGCACGGCGTGCAGGAGGCGGTGGATCCATGACTCTCATCATGGATGCTTCTATCTCCCTCCCTCTCCCTTCCTCTCTGAAATCAATTAAAAATATTTAAACAAACAAAATACAGCAGCTAATCCGTCCAGAAAGCATCGCGTGCACGAAGGACCAAGAGTGAAGGCCCCGCCCGCGCGCCCAGAGGACACCAAGCACACCCCCGACTGCTGCCCTAGCTGTAATGGCTCAACTGAACGCTTGGAACCCGGCTTTTCCCCGGGAGGCGCGGCGCGGCCATTTTCCTCTTGCCCTCCGCTTTCCTTCCCGACCGGGGATCCGCGGGCGAGTCCCCAGTGCCGCAGCCGCGGCCGGGCGGGTTCGGCAGCCGGGCTCCGCGGGAGGCCAGCGTGGCTCCTGCAAAGGTGCTT